ATTTAAAATACTGAGACATATAATATTAAAACTCATAATTTTTCTTCCTGCATAATTTTACAAATGAACCACTTTAGAAAGCTACCAGAAGTGGAAAACACAAGAGTTACTCTTTTAATTCCAAGTCATATCACAAAGTTTTAACCCTAAACTCTTTTGTAGCAACTAGGGATATGAAACGCTACTACATTTATATTTGCATTGTAACTGCACTGTACTTAAAAAAAGAAAAACCCTGACTTCATGATTAATGGTCTTTAGAAGTAAACTTTCCTATATTCTCTTCAACTCTTAAAAACTAGGATTCACCTATTAGCCATTTCTTAACTTTCTTATTTTTAAAATATCTACTAAATATTCTTAGGTTTTTTTGAGAAAAATTTTCTCTATTGATATATTTCAAATATGTAATAAAGAAATTAATTTTTTTACATTACATTGGGTATGAATATTTCTATTTTATTAACAAAACAGCTAGTATACATAATGTATTTTGCTTTAGTTCATGGCCAGTGTAAAAACAGATTTTCTGAAATGTTAATCAGTTATAAAATGTAGAAAATAAAATCCCTAATATGAGATACAACATAAACCAAAAAGAAAGGTTTACCTTTTAATGTTATATTTAATTATTTTTTAAATCCAAAGAAGTGAATAATATGTTTCAAAGAAAAAAAAATCTCTCTTAATATTTTTCAGATAAAAAAACAAAATATCCTGGATCACTATATTTCACTATATTTCACTATATTTCAAATGTGCACAGCTTACCCAAAGCCCTTTTTAAAAATAATAATATTTATGATAATACAGTAGTTAATTAACCCCAAAATTATAGATATAATATTAATACATGAAACACTAAAGAAAAGAATTCTACACTAGAACAATGAAGAATAACCACAACCACCTCTTTGTATAACATAATTTTAAGGTTTTAAAAATGATCCGATAGAGGTTTTCACATTTACAAATATTAAATAAATTTAATATGCAATATTCTCATTTAAAATAATAATCATTTTATAAATAGAGTATTTAATATTAACTACTTTTTGAAAAACAGCATAAAACATTCAAGAGACACTATGCAAGTCAGGGATTCATACGGCCTGAAATTATTAGATCATCTCAAATAACAAAAAGGTAATGTATTCAATGTGAAAGGATTCCAAGTACTGCAAAAGTCCTTCTACAGAACTGCTAACAAGGTTATTCTTTACAGGGAACATTTTACTTTCAAGGTGTACATTCACTCCCAATATCTACTTCACTTAAAAAAAAAAATTCTCTCTCTTAATTCTCCCTTTCTTTTTCCTTCACCACAAATTATTTGGCACATGATCCAAATCGAACATTTCTGTTCAACATGTTTGAAAACATCAAGCAATCTAAAAGTTTTAGGAAAACTATTCTTTAATGGTATCAAGAAGAGTGCCTTTTCTTAATGTTGGATAAAAACGAAGTATTTGAGTTTTCTGTCTTTCAGTGTCTACATGAACTACTAGCTGGCATTTGTAAAAAATGCATATTATATATATATGTGTGTGTGTGTATGTATATATATCTTTCCTGAACCCATAGCCAATACACTCAGTGAGACTGAAGTTGGGGACATACAGGGCAATAAACACATTACTAGAGACAACAGCTTGAAGAAGAAAATGACAGTAAAACTGCACATACAACACAGTTACTAATCATAAAGAGATGCGTTGGCAAAAGAAAAAAAAATCATCATTTCTGTCATAAATTTTGCAGTGCAGCCCCAGAATGGAGAACAATCTGGGCAATTTATTGGCATATTGGCAGGAGGTGATAAGGCTAAAAACAACAACAGCGAGCAGCTGTGCGGGGAGATGGGCTGATAGCATGATATGGCTCCCACACCAAACACCTCCCATCCTATCAGGGCTTTTTATCAAACCAGGATTACAATAATAGCTTAGAAGAGAAAGCTTCTGAGGGGAGGGCAGAAAATATAGTCTTGGAATAGGAAAAAAAAAAATCTGAATTTTGGGACAAAACGTGGGGGCAAAATACATAATTTATCACTGTATTATCAGGAAATCCAGGCAGTCTAATCAAGGAGCACTGGGTGACTATTTTTTGCCTTATCATCCAAAGTGGTGGAAACGGAGAAGGAATTATCAGGCTTCTGCAGATTGCTGGGCTGGAATTTTAATGGTAATAATCGGGTTTCTGATGGTATATCTTCTCCGCTTATCTTTCCCATTATCTCCTCTTATCTGGCCAGTCATCATAGCAAATTAATGGTGCTCTTTCAGCGTTGCCTTTTTATCGCTGCCCGGAGAGCACCCAAGGGGAAAGAATAAGCAAAATATTAAAATACTGCATAAATCACAATTTTAGATAGCAGGGAACTGTACGCAGTAAAAGAAAAAAAAAAAAAACTGTGCCCAACAACCTTTTTGTCCTTTAAATTGACTGTCTTCACAGTTTCTGGTATAAGCTGACTTTTTGCTTGTCATAGTTGCTCTAAATTGGGTATGTTTTATCAGCAGTGCCAAAGCTTTATTTTCAAATTCTGGATGTTTCCAAGTTTAAAATGCAGTTTCATTAGTTGCATGAAGTGCCATTGTTTCAAAAAGCATTTCTTTCTGGGATTTTCCAAACTTCTGTTTGATCCAGAATATCAAAAGCAACACTGTGGCTTGTAATTTTTTAAAAATGTTTTTCTTCTTATACACTACGAAAATTGGAGAGACCTATCATGGTAATGACCCTGAGTATCAGACAAACTTCTCCATCTGCAAAACTTCCTACTCCTGAACAGGCAAAAGGAGACAGATGTCAATAGGTTACAACCAAAGTGACTTTACAGTTGGTCAAACTACATTTAAGTATTCCCACCCCACTCCACCCCCCAAAAAACAGCTATTAGATAATACTGCTCTATATATAACAATTCAAAGACCTCTAATTTCTCATTTTCCTTAACAGTGCAAGGGAAAAGGGTGTCCACATTTGCATAGATAATCACTGTGACCCTAAACTGAATCCAATAAAAGTCTAAACTGCATGTATATTAATAATGCATATGAATGCATGTATCAGCAGGCAAGGATCACTGGGAATAAATGCAAATATAATACTTGTTCACTTCCAAATGAGAAAACTTTTAAGTATTTTTGATACTTAATAAATCACAGCATTCAAATAAGGCACTAAAATGTTTTATGACCTATAACACAAGTGTAGCATCAGCAATTAGTTCCAGCGCTTTAATCTTCAATTATACGAGGTGGACATAGAAGGATAGAAAAAAAAAATTTAATGTAGCTAATTGAGAAGATAACAAAGTATTCCCAAGTAGAATCAGATGGTCTTTGTGCTATACAATCAATTAATATTAATTATTTATTAACAATCTAGATGGCAGCCATGAACTAAAAAGCATTTTGTCTTTAATAATGCTTATACTCATATCTTATAATAAGCAGTTTTGTACTACAAAATGCAACATTTATACACAGGGACCAGATCGATTTAGTTCTAAAAGGTAAAAAGCAATTAGTTGAAACCATGAATAATCACTCTGAAAAAAGGGAAAGTCTTCAAGAACAGTCTTCTCTCTCTATTCAATTAAAACTGCTTTGAGCCCAAAGTTAAGTCCAGTCCTTGCTTTAACCCAAGTTGAAGCAATCCAAGAGAAGAAATCCACTAAAGAAAAGCTAGCGACTCTGCTTTGAGAGGCAAGGATCTAAATACTTATGTAGCAAACTGCTCACAACCTGGACCCCATTTTATACTGGATTAAGTTGCTTTATAGGATTTATTTCAAAACTACATTAAATGGAATTTCTAACACGAGGGGGTGCGTGTGATTAATAATCAAGGGGGAGGCAGTGTCATGAAAGCCTTTACCTAAAAGTACACGATAATCAGTTTTATATTAGTTGCCAGACTTCAAATAACACGAACAAATGGACACACCGCATGGCTGGCAAAATAAAATAAAATAAAATAAGGCTGTTTCTCCTTTTCGGCCAAAGCGTTGAAGACATGTCGCAGGGCGACAGAACATTAGGGGAAGGCTAATCCCCAAGACGCGAAAAGTTGCCCGAGTTGAGCTCTGCGGGTGGGTGCTTTACGGGCAGGTGCCTCTCGCCTCGCTGGGGACTCTCAGCACCGCCCAGGCCCCCGGAGGCTCGGGGGCTTCAGGTCAGGCTCATCTGAGGCGCCCAGGCTGCCTTGAACTCCCGGCTTCCGCGCTGGGAAGGAGCCGGCGGCCCCTCCCCGCAAGGACCCGGCGCGCCCGCGGGGCCCGAGGTAACCCGCACGCCCACCGCGTAGAGCGTCCCGGCGCCGCGAGCGGGACGGGCCCTGAGCCCCCGGCCAGATCCGCCCGCGCCAGCCCCGCGCCCGCAGGGCGGAGGCGCACGGCTGCCAGCGGCCGAGGCGCGAACTTTTACACCTACTTTTTGTTTCGCTTCGGCTGTGGCGTGGCTCTGGCACCGCCCCGGATCGGGACCCAGACACTGATTTTCCACCGCCTGGGGACGTGGCCTCCCTCGCCCTGAGGTCTCCACCAGTTGTTTCGAACTAAGTTCTCACTCTGGTTGCTAAAAAAAAAAAAGTGGTCCCCAAGAGTAGCAGCCCGTCCAACGCAACAACAATGACCACAACCACACAGATAACAACCTCCTGAGTGAGTTGGAGCTAACCAGCCAGGCTCCAGGCGAAAAAGCAGCGCTAAGTGAGCGCGGGGGGTCAGAATTAAAAAGGACCCCGAGGGCGAAGGCTGAGCCGAGCCAGGAGCGGGCTGTTCCTTGCAGCCTCTTTCTCGCCCGGCGGTCGGGCTGTCCGTCTGTCTGTCTGTGCACGACTAGCTGTCCCTCCAGCTGCTCGAAGTTTGACAAATCCCGGGCAGCGGGAGCGGATTTCCCGGAGTCTCCCTCCCCTCCTTTTCCCGCCCCGCGCGCGCCCCCCGCCCCAGAAATAATCCCACCAACTCTCGGCCCCGCGTGCAAACTTACGTTTGATCTGCCGGGGTTTGCTCTGCTTTCGCCGGGACATTTCGGCGGCGGCCGCTGCCCCCGGGGCTCCCGCGGTGCCCGCGGTCGGGGCTGCCGCTCCCTCGGCTCCCGCCGCCGCCGCCGCCGGTCGGGCTCGGGCCGCCGCCGGCCGGACTCCAGGTGCTCCGGGCACGCGGGATTCCGGGCGCTGGGCTCCTTCGGGAGCCGCGGACCCACGTTTGGAGATGAGCAGGCAAATGACGAGGGAGGGAGAGAGAGAGAGAGGAGAGGAGAGGGGGGCAGAGAGTGTGACAGGAGGGAGGGGAGGGGGGGAGTGGGAGAGCGCCGGGGTGGGGGAGAAGGGGAATTTTCAAACGGAGGAACCGGGAGAGAGAAAAGGGGGCAGGGGGGGCGGGAAGGGAGTGCGAGCGGAGGGGAGAGGGGAAGCGAGGGGGCGGAAGGCGCGCGAGGAGGCGCGCTCGCTCTCCCCGCTCTGGGCGGCTCGCGGGGCACGGACGCCGCCGTTCCGGGCCGCGCCGCTCTCGCTCTGCCGCGGGAGGTGGCGAGGCGCGGGAGGGAAGGAGGGGCGCGCCGGGGCTGTGGGGAGGGGGGACCGTTCCATCAGCGGACGGAGGATTGGCTACATCCAAAGCCAGTCCTGATGCAAACTAGGGCCCTGGCCTGGTCGCGTGGGGTGCGAGGGGAGCGCGGCGGGGGGCTGGGGGGGCGGATAGAAAGCGGCTTGGGGAGGGCTTGGAGAGGGGCCACCTTCTGCAGTTGTCACCGCGGCAGCTCGGGGCGTTCGCCCAGACCACCCCCGCCTTCTCTTCCTGGCAACTTCTTTCAACAGCCCCCTCTCGGATGGAGCCCCCCACCCCCATCCCCCCCTCAGCTCTCCTCTCTCACGCCTCGTCTGTCCAGCGGGGCACAAAGAAATCTCAGTCTCTCCATAAACTTTGAGTTTCCAGTTAATGCCGCCCCTCCCCTAGCCCCCACCCCGCCCTTCCAGCTCTGTTGGCAGGAAGGTTTAGGCCACTGGCAGAATCCTCTTCGAGAGCCAGCTGATCAGAAATGCCAACTGTGTGTCTTGGGGCCAGTTAAGTCCCTCTCATCTGCCCAGGCTCTCCGGAGACCGGTTCATGGCTCTCAAGGTTCCCCGGAGACCAATGCGGACACGGACCATCCGTCCCCCACCCCCCCACCCCCCACCACCCCTCACTTGGCCCGCAAGGATGAGATGCTGAATAGCGTCCTAAAAGTGCTCTGTCTCACCTCGAGTTTCCATTTTAAGGTTGTTTGTAAAAATTACGAATTTGGAGACAGGCAGATATTTTTCTCACATCAGAAAGGAGAACCATTAACTAGGTGATTAACCCTTCTAGGAAACGAACCGTCTCTAATCAGAATACTAACTTCGAGGAAGTCTGTGGAAGTTCTGAAGTCCCACCCTAGCCCCGTAATATTTCATTCTTTTAGTTCTTCTGCCACAGGGAAGCAGCCAGCGACTAATAAAAGGTTTGATCTTGCCATAATTTCCCAAGCAGGTAAGACCCAATAACGATTTCATGGTTCTTTAGTTTTTAAAGTTTTGTTTCATTATTATTCAATTATTGTGTGTGTAGTATGTCGGAAACTGCAAGCCAAAAGAACACATTTTGAAGTGATTTGCATAGTTATTATTTTGGCCAAGTTAAGCTGCATGAGGCTAGCTTTAGTTTCTCATAGTTTCATGTACACTGAGTTTTAAATATATTCTCCCAGGTTGACTTAAAGGAGCCTCTATCTAACAGACAGTGGAACTGGCTGCTTTATGTAATCAGTATTTACTAATAAACTCCACTGCAGTTAACATGTATCCACCAGATACTGCCGACTTTTCCCCCCCAGGTTGTGAGATCATCCATTCTGATCTGAAATCGTGCCCCCCTTTGTTTGGTTGACTAACATCCCGGTGAGCCCCGCCAAACTCCACACGCTAAAAGGGTCTGGAGGTCAGCAGAGAGCCTGGGCTGATTGAGCATAATGCAGGCTGCTCAGCGTGCAGGAGGCACTGTAATCAGTGTCATTTATAACCCCATCAGGACATCTTCTGGAAGGTGTAAAGACTTGCCCTGTGATAGGTATGGCTGAGAGAATCTTCATACAGAGCTGAAGACCAATTGTGAATGTTATTACATTGCCATTAGCACTATTACCATAGAGGTTGTAAGAATACATGGTTCTTGGCAGTGGAAACGCACTGACAAAGTCCCTCCCTTGAAGAACCAACAAATTAAAGCCGTAAGTACCATGAAAAGCAGGGTTATTTGTGTTTGTATTGTGGAATGAATAAGCAGACAGAACTACAGATTTTTGCCTCCTTAATTTCCAATTCATTACAATTAAGTTGGTATACATAGAACTGAATTATTATATATTATGCCTTCTAAAGATCTTTTTACAAAACTGGCTGACTTTTTTTATATCGCCCAAAAGGAATGCCCATTGGAATAAGATACCATAACATTTAGTGTTTCCTTTGGCATTTGAAATGGTTAAATATGCAAAGCAGAAGAGAAACAAATAAATCTCAACTAAATACTCACTTTAAAAGCTGAAAGGAGGAAAAGTCAGAGAATTCAAGACAAGATTGATAAGATAACCTGATTACAGTATTAGAAATAAAGATAGCTCATCTAAATTTATAAATAGATATATTAGTATAGTCAATATGAATGAATTAAACTAAGGAATACTGTTACATTTTGTGTTTTCTCATCATTTTAATGAGAATGTTAATGATATTTAAAGTTTAATTTTTCTTTTTCTCATTTAATTCACTAAGGTTATAAAATAAAATGACAGCAAAACCTATAAGCAATTATCTCTGTCCAAATGGATATAGCAGCTCCAAACCACAGCTACATGACTATCAAACAATGATTATGAAAACCACAATTGAGAAAAGCATCAGAGAATGATATTGCAAAACCACAGCAACAAATGTGTCTGCGATATAGAAAACCACAATTCACAACTAATACCCTGTGTATTGCAAATTACTATTTAACTATAAATGTGAAAATGTATAAGTAACAGCACAAAATAATTTCTCATTTACTTAAAAATGAATTATTCATTTTCTGGACTCACTGATTTCATCTCTGCATAACGGTTCATTTTGAAAAGTTTCTTTTTTCAAAGACAAATCATTTTAAATCACATAAGTTACTTTAAAAGCAGAAAATATGCAACTTTTAATAACATTTCCTCAAATGTTAAAAGAATTGATCTGAAACCCATCTGAAATAAAGAAACATCTACTTCAGTCTAGCTTTCTTCATAAAATTTTTCAGGAGCAAAAAGGATTGGAGTGGAAACTTTATAGAAAAAGAAAAAAAAACTTCAAGTATCTATTACACCTTCAACGAGAACATAATTATATTTCCTTAAATCATCATTTTGGCTAGAAAATATACATCTGATAATAATGTGAGTTGCCAATACCAAAACTACTTTCATATGCAAACCAAATGTTTATTCACAAGTGAATAAAAGAATGTTATTTGTAAATTTATAGAGTTTTCAGATTTAGCAAATTAAAATACAGGTAGCCCAGTTAAATTTTAATTTCAAATAAGCAACAATAGATTTTTTAGGGTAAGTATGTTCCATGCAATGTTTGGTACATACTTATCCTAAAAAATAATCATTCCTTAACTGATAGTCAAATTTAACTGGGCATTCTGTATTTTATCTGGCAAACTTACAAGTTTTCACAAATTTATGGTTTTTTATAATATTGTTTATAGAAAGGTAGGGAAACCCTACAGTATTTCCTGTAGATATAGATATACTTTATTCTTGAACATATTATTTAGGGAAGGCAATGTAGAAGAAGTAAATTTCTATACAAAAATTCTTTATATGGCACAGTACCGAAAGGTGCTGTCCATGTAAATGGATTGCATTCATGTCTGTCTCACTCTTGCATTTGTTTTTAAAATGTGTTTTTTTCCTCTGAGGGATCAACAAATTGATAAAGCAACCTCCCAGCCCACATCTTTTTTGGCAGCAAGCTGCCTCCTTTATTATGGGAATAAACAATATTCAAAAGCTTCAGAAAGACTTAATTTTTTGCCCTTGTATCCTCACCAGAAATTGAATACAGTTTATCTGCCTTGATTTAAGATTGTAACACTGAATTGAGCAAGAATGCAGTGTGAAAATAGTGTTTAGTGTTTGTGTATTTTTATAATTTCAGCAGTTTAAAAATAAAAATCAACAAATTCATCTAAATGGCATTCCTATGTTGTAACTATGAAAAGGACTGTCTGTTTACTCACTAAGGCACCAAGAGCTTTGAAAACATTCAGTCAATCTAGATCCGAGGGTTAACTTGGTCTTTGTGTAGACGGTCAATTCACTTGATAGAAGTATATATGTACAAAAATTTACTAAAGGGCAGGTCTATTTAATTAATTCATTGAATTTTCAAAAAAAATCTGTGAAAAAGATCTCTGAACCCATATGGGTTAAGAATGGCTATTCTCTTCATGTGTAAATTTTTATGATGCACTGAAAAATATGAATGATTTAAGTTTTTATTCTTTGCAATCAGCCTTTATGTCCAAATTACTACTCTGATAGAGGAAAATCATAGGATGAACTCTATTACAAAAAAAAAAAAATGTATTTGTTGCTAAGTCTGCATAACACAACTCCAATCACAAAATAAATGCTGAAAGAGTAATGCCTTAATTTTAGTAAACATCTGTTGACTTTGCCTCCCTAGTATCCATTCCTTCTTCTCCTGGTAATAGTGCTGTGACATCTTTTGAAGAACCACTCTTCCACACCTTCTCTTTGGTCATGTGATGCAGTGTGCCCTTCCCCAGTCCCCCAGTTCCTGACCAGTCAGAATATTTCATTTGTAATGATTCAAATTGTTTCTATGGGAGTCAGCCCTGCCTGGAACTTGACCCTAAAACCACTGAGGAAAGGGTGCTGTTATTCTGCTGGGCTTGCTATACTGGAAGAATGCTGTTGTTGTTGTTTTTTAGCTCCTAAGTCATGTCCAGCTTGTTTGTGACCCCATGAACTGTAGCCCACCAGCCTCCGTGTCTCAGAGATAAAGAATCTGCCTGCCAAGCAGGAGATGCAGGTTCAATCCCTGTGTCAGGAAGGTTCCTGAAGAAGGAAATGGCAACCCATTGCACAATTCTTGCCTGGGAAATCCCTATGGACCCTGGAAGAATGCAAATTTAATATTGCTTTTGGCCATCGAATATGTTTTAGAGAACTAATTGTGTCTTATCTTGTCTCAGGATCTGATTTTTGGGAAATCCAAACCAAGACACCCATCAACATTCCAATATTACTTTTTTTTTTTTTTTTTTGGTTCTATCAGTATTACCTATGCATCTACATAGACATTAGAGTCTTGGTCATTTCTATTATATTGTATCTTTATATATTTAACTAGGCTAATCTCTCTACACCTTTGTAGTCAGTGTAGATACCATTTTTCACAGAAAGACTTCCCTGACCTCCCAAGTCTGAGTGAGATACCTCTTCTCAGTTAGCTCCACAACCTTTTTTGACTATCACTTGTTGCATTGTATTATATTGGCAGTTTAATTACATATAAATTAAATCCTCACCAGCCCCCTCCCTATCCTAATACACCTAACTAGATAGTCTGTGAGGGCAAGAAATACATCTGCCTTCAGAACTGCATCCCCATGCTGGACACACAGAAGGTCTTAACATAATTACTGAAAGAAGAAGTAAGGTTAGAATTATCTTGTTTTATCTGGGCACTCTTACAGTCCCCAATCTGCATCCAAATATGCACAGGTGTAAAGAGTGGCAGCCATGTTTGTGCAGCATGACTCCATGCTCCTGATTACAGATGCTTGGACCAAAGGGAGTACCTGCCTCAAATATGAGCAATCAAATTTCTCCCTCAGGGATCTAGAGTTAGTATCAAGGGTTTCATCTTTACAAGGGCTAGCCTCTTAAATTAATGAAAAATGAAATGAATGGTGAATTTCATAATGAATGAAATTATGGCATGGTTACCACCATGTAAACAGAGTAACAGCAATAGATACCAGTAGACAGAAAAAGAAATAAAACAAACGGTAAAAGAACTGGGAATATGAAATGGTATTCCGTGTCCTGTTCCAGTCCCTTCATAGGCTGCTGCCCTTGACATCACTGAGATACTTATGTCTCCTTAAAATAAATTCCTACCCATCTT